TTTTTTTTATGAGCTAAATTTTATTTTTTATATGCAGTAAAATCAATTTTTAAACGAGTTTATGTAATACAAGAATGGTACAAAAATGATTTTTCTTATTAAATATAAAATAAATTATGTTCGATAAGAAGGTTATCCAGCGTTATCATCTTCTTCAACAATTCATCTGCACTATGTTAAGAAAACTGGTATGCTTCGTTTTAAAAAATATTTAGGGAGAAATTTATAAATACACATTCATTCAAAGAGCATGTAGCGTTATTAGAGCTCTTTCTTTTCATACGATTATCTAAGCTAATGCAATATTGTTTACCTTCTGGAAATGCAAAATTAAACAAATGTTAATTAAGAGAATGGAAATTGTTGAAGAGATGAATGATATTGAATTGCGAATTGAAGAAGAAAACGCTAACGATGAAGAAGAAGAAGAAGAGAAAACCTGTGAAGAGCAAGGGCTGTTGCAAGGCCGCAAATACCAGCTCCGACGATCACGATCTCCGCATCAACATCTGTATCCATCTTCTTCCCCTTTCCTTCCTATTTAACAGATTCAAATACATTTTCAACACACTTATCTCTGTTTCTACTTACTTTTTATAGCCTCATTTCTCAATACCACCACCATTCCACTTTGCATAAATTAAACAATACAACAACACTCTTTTCATTTTTTAAATATCTCAATACTTTATTACAAAATCCTTATTTTTTTACTCCTCACACCACAATACAATTTACATGAAACATTAATATTAACATATTATTAATTTTAATATATCCAATTCATTAACACGTTTTAAATTGCCTTTAAGACTCAAAAGCATTTTACCATTGCCTTATAGTTTAACTAAATTTTCAAATTGATTCCAAGTTTGATAAAAATGTTCTTTGGTAATCTTGTACATAAGTGTAAATAAATAATTATTTAATCTATTAAATGTGCCAATGTTTTATTAGTTTAAAAAGTTTATCATTTTAAATTTCTTTTGATTTAAATTCACTTTAGATTTAAAAGTTGTCAGTGCGGAATTCGGATCCTATGCAAATTAACAACGTACTTTATTCTCAAAATTTAAGAATTAAATAATTTGTTTAGTCACTAATAAAAATAATGTTAACATGATTTTTTTTCGATAATAATATAAAAATTGTAATTAAGCATTAATATTAATATTATATGTAATATAGTAATTTAACATTGTTAATTAAATACGTAATTAATTTGTTACGAGGGCCAAAATTATAAATGAACAAAAATTATAACACTAAAATGATTTTAAGTCTTATAGTTTAAGAGAGTACATTAGATATAAAAGTATAATATATTTTTAGTGTATTATTTGCCAAACAACTACAATATCAATAAATAATGTTATATTGTTATTTAGGAATGTATATCAAAATTATTAGTTATTATTGTAGCAGTATCAGTTACTTCATACATGATTATTAAATTTGATGAGAATGTAATAGTGTAGAGTTTCAACCACTTCATTTTGTCAAAATTGTTGAATCATGTATGAAATTTGTGAAAATTATTTCACCACTATACATAGATGAAAAAAAAAATCGCAAAAGTATGAAATTTATTATTAATTAAAAAAAATTAAAGTCCAAGTATATGAAACGAATCAGTATTTTCAATCCATATATTTTATGCAAAACAAGTTAGCCCTACTTACATATTGCAAACCAAAACCAAACCAAGTACAGATTGAACTTAAAGAGAACAAGACAACTCACCCTAACTAAAAGTTTTGATACTTTTTCATCTCCTAAGAGATTTTCATTTGACACAATTTCCTTACTTTCAAAGTCAAAATAATTTAGAGGTAATATTCTCACATAAAAAAGAGTAGCATATTGTAGGTAGATGTTAAAGGTGTGATTGTTTGACTATGAAAATATTTGTTACTCATACTACTTATTAAGAAGTATGTACGTATGTATTCCATTCATTGCTTACAACACTTTCAAACATGACCGTATCAAACATGTGAAGATTGATAATTTTTTTTCAACAAAATATTCTAAATTTTTTCGATTTGAAGATTAATTGACAAATATTCTTGTAAAAGTAGTGACAAACCAGGTTTCAAATATGATTAAATATATTTGTATAAAAAAATATATTTATAAATAAAATAAAATATATTTATAGTGACGAAAAACTAAAATTTATCCATCTCAAAATTTATTCATTTTAATCCTCAAATTTCGAATACAAATTTTAAACCTAATAATTTTAATTTTTTTTGATATATTAGATAATATTTGAAGTTAATATCTGAAATAAAATATGTCAAATGTAAACTAATTATATGCAGACACCATTTGATATAAAAAAAATTAACATTGTTAAATTAAGATAATTATATCTACTTACTTTTAAAATTTAAAGATAAAATGTATAAGAATTTAAAGCATTTGACATCCAAATTTAAAGCTATAAATAAATTTGACCCTTATAAATATAAGAATCATAAACTTAAATAAAAATAAAAAGGACTGGTCAGCATATTTGAAAAGGCGTGAAGTTTGCATTCGTTTGACTAGGAAAAGGTTTTGGGGCCATCCATAAAAAGTAAATATGATATCTCTCGCTGCGGCACTTTATTTTAGTCCTCGTACAAATCGAAGCTGTCCATATATTCTTAACCACTTTTTCTTATATGGAGGAGTTTATCAATATTTACAGAAATTCCAATTCCCCGCCACGGAAACAAATTACACGCAAATTAATCTTCAAATTGCCTGCTAGGAATACAATAATTTTGTAACCTAATCGAAAGGATCAATTCGGGGATCATGTTCGCTTGCCATGGCCATTCCAGTGCAAAGGCATGTTGGACACATAACCTGTAATCAGAAAGCATGACAGTAAGAAACAAATTCTCAAGAATCATTGTTGCTGTGGACCGATAGTTAACCAATTTTCACTTGAGAAGTCTATAGTAAAACTTAATACGAAAATTTTCAACTCAACAAAAGGCCCTGAAGAAAGGATTAGAACTTGTAATTTATTTTATAGCTAAAATCTAGTTTAAGTCAGGAAGCATACAACGAACCAAAAATCTTGCAAAATATCTAATGTAATGATTTGAAACTTTAATACTGTTGTGGGCAAGAATTTCAATGTGTTTCAAAATGAAAGGCATTGAGTTTTAGTGAAGTATACTATGGCTTTTCTCTAATATAACTAGTGCAAGGCTAGCAGGAAATAAAATACTTCTAAATGACCAACCTTGCCAGATCCAGAGCATTTTGAACATCTCTCAGTTTTTGGTGGTAAAAGAGGCTTATTTCCACCTTTGATTGTGGATACTGGTTCAATAAGAACAAGTGCTCCCGTGCTTGAACAGCGAGCGCATGCAAGATATCCTGACAGCAAAAAGTACAATACATATGTCAACTTTCGTGGAATTAGCATGGACATATGGACTATTAAAATCTCCACTTTGCTGACAAATGAAACCCACACCATGTAAGTTGAGTTATAAGTAATAAATATTTCCAGACCTCTCTGCACTCTGTTTCACAAGAGCGTATCATATGCATTCAATGCCACAGTTCAGTGCAATTATGATATTAGGGATCATTGTCAGGGTTTTCAGCTTAAAACTTAGGTCTTATAAGAAACCGTCATTGGAGTATGCTGATATGGCATGAGTTAAGACCCTGAATCCTAAGAATAAAAGACGAACACCTATAACCACCCAACCGCTACCTATTCTTTCCCATATGTTTTCTTCTCACGTAAACATTCCATCCTCTAAAACAACCTCTTCCTTTGCAACTAGAAAGTAGAAACCATATGCAGTAAGAAGAGGAAAGGTTGCAATCGAAAGAAGAATGATGGAATCCTTCTGTTACATCATGAAGACTTCTGACCGTAAAAATGCAGATATCAGAAGAGGTTTAGAAATCTTACCGGTACCAAGACAGTATTTGCATCTTTTCTGCTCCTGCTGTTTTACATTGTTTATCTCAACAACCATTAATGAGGAGATTACTCCAACCGCTCCTCCCGAGAATGATGCCACTATGGGATCAACCTGACTAAAATATTCAACAAAATTTAGTCGTTATGATATAATAAGTAGACTGCAATAGGAATCATTTTAGCAACAATGAACTAGCCCTAATCATGTATCAGTATACAGACAAATAACTTGCCTCTTTATCATAAAAATTCAATATTAATCAATTCGGGGGAATATAACACTAATTTCCATGGCTGCTCTGAGAATAAAGTATAAAGGAAACAGTAGATAAAGAAAGGGCACTACCTCAGCTGCAAAGGCAGATGCAGACTTTCAATGAAATCTGCATATGATGTGCCCCCTAGTCCAAGCTTAAGCTCCAGCTGAAAAAAAAAGGAGTTGCGATGACTGAAAGTTGCTAAACTAATGGATTCCTTTTTACAAAAAAGCATAATGAAATATAGGATAAAAAACAAGAAATGTAAGCATGATATATTAAAAAAGAAAAACGTGAAGGATAAATAAAACAAATAAAGCAGTAGTAACAATCAATTTGCAGTACCTCTATGCATAGTATCCATCATAGCAAAAACATATTAAGGACAGCGCTATGCATAAGTAATTAGTTACTCCTAACACACCCAAAATAAAACGGTATAGATCTTAGATTGAGCACTTCCAATTAGCTCTTAGAAAGTGGTAGGAGGACCAGCTAATTTATTAAACCATTCTGAATAATTGATCAAATATTGCACTTTTTTGCTAAGGTCTTCCCCTTCTCAACCGTGATTGACATTCATGTTGCACCAGTACAAAGAGTTGGGTTCGCATAGGGGATAATGCTTTATAAAAATAAAATTAATCATACTTCCAAGTTATTTAATCAAACAAAATGCAAAGGGAAGAACCAAAAAAGAAATCTACAACCTAAATTCATATTGATAGCATATTTCCAATATTGAAAACACGGAGGTAGCTGCAGAAAAATCTTACACTGGGTGCAAGGAGACCACCAAAAAGAATTATCCCAGCAATAAGAGAAAAACAGGTTGCATAATATTGCTTGAGGTTTGCCTGTGAGTCTGAAATAATATATGTATCAGGTTACCATTTGCCAAACCTTTGGAAGAAAAAGTAAAATTATCCATGGTCATCAGAACAAAAAACAAAATCAACGTGACTTGTTATAAATTCCAAAAGTTGAGATGATTCGTAGCTAAGTAACTCAAAGAAACTTACCAAAGGAGGCAAGAATGGAATGAATGATGGGAAGTTAGGAAGTTCATTCTCTTGTTCTTCACTTATAATTCCAAGTTCAGCACTTTTAATTCTTTGCTGTATCCTAAGCCTACGAACCTACAAAATAAGAGGATTTGGTTGAGAGAAGGGCTTACCAGAGAGTATAATGTATGAATGAATTTGAATTTCTAACAGGTTCTTTGTATTAAATTGGAACAATGAAGGAAAATATTCGATCAATATAATTTGATACTGGAGAACAGAGAGGGCCAACAAGACCACCTCAATATCTGTAATAAAAGAGCACAAATTATAGGTAATGAAATATCCAACTTTTATACAAAAGTAGAGCGAAACTAAAAGTAATAAAAATATCCAAATGAAGAACCCTTTACTCCGTGTGGCCTTCATTTTGGAATGAAATGCACTCACATACACCACCATTATACAATATCCCGGCTCTATTATAGAACGTAACATCCATGACATCACCATAGATGTCAAGATGCAGAAATGTTAATTAAATTTAAAGGAAACAACTCTTATTACTTCCACGATCAAAATTCCAACAATCTTTCATTCAACATTAAATAGTCACAGCAATTTGATAAATCGAAGCTCATCAAGAGAACCACCATCCATTCTCAAGTCACTTAAAAAAGGGTCAAGGTTGCAAATGCGTCATAAAAACAGTAATCAAGACTAAAGGCCAGTTAGCTGGGAAACTAAGTAACAGAACCACCAGAAGTTCAGTAATCAACACTATCTACTATAGACTTTTCAATTGTTTGTGTAAGACTATTACAGTAGTTAGTGCCAAAATTTAGATCATGAAAATAAGACGTGCAAGAAATATCGACTGCTAGAAATTTCATGAGAGCGAGTAATATCATGTGGTATGGCAACTTCAGGCACAGGAATAAAGTAGTGAGAAGTAATATATATATTATTTGCATAGCAACATGTGGTATTAGACCTCTTCCATTTGTAAGAAAATCTTGTTCCTCCGACTTCGAATGTTATCCTGAATCTCTTGAAGCTCCATCTTGGCGAAATCCTGCACCGTTTCGGGGCCTTCTATGATGCAAATCTGATAGACGGAATAAAAAAGTAAATCAGTCCAAAAAAAGAGGAAGGAGCAACTTCGGTTTCTCCAAATTAAAAAAAAAAAAAAAACTTAGAAACAAGAGAAAAGGGACCCTGTGGAGCGAGTTGTTTTATCTGAAGCATCAAGTCAGAGAGGGAGCAAAAAGAAGAGTCGGATTCTTGAGCCATGAATCGCCATCTGAGCCTGTTTGCATTAAGCGGCAGCGTTTTGTTATTGGTGTTGTCCCTCCAAGACGAATAGTGGGATTGATTGGGTAAGGACCCCGGCGAATCGACCCAGACACAGCATATTCCCAATTCACGCAAACATGAAATGAAAAAACATAGATAAATTGAAAAATATATAGAGAAATTAGGGTTTGGTGGGGAGTCGGTAGGAGAGAAGCAGAGGCTTCCACCGGAATTGCGAAGAGTGGTGAGTGGAGTCCGCAAATTGCTTCCCACTTTCGTATTTACTATATAATCTAATCAGATATCTCTAGAAAAACAGTATTTTTTAGTGGAGAGAGTACCCTCCATTCTCTTCACTATTGCCGATCCATTTCGCTAAATCCAAATTCCTTCCATTTCAATAAATTTTACTTTCCATTTCTTGAAGAAAGTATATTTATGTATATTGTAATTTATATCTTAGTTTTATATTTAATTATTTATTAAAATTAAATAATATGAATTCTTTAAACTTAAGTACACATTCTTGAAATCATTAATTTTAATTGTCATTCATGAATTGTCCTTTCAAGTGATGTTAATTAGTTTTTAAAGATAATGTAAGTAATGATGTAATTAATTAATATTTAATTTTCATTTAATACATGTATGTAATAAATGTAAATGATATCAATGTAAGTTACCTCATTAAATATAATTAAATTATGTATAATTGTGTCTATTTATTTCTATATTTTCTTAGTTATTAAAAGTTTTCAAGATCTCACATTACTCCATCAAAATAAAATTTCTTTCAAAATTTATTAGTGAAAAAATAAAATATTTTGTCGTTGTGTCTCTCCCTGATAACAATTAAGAAAAATAATAAAAATATAGTTAATAAACACAAATTTTAACAAAATATATACAGTAGAACCATAACAAATTAGTTCCCGACAAAGACACGTAACTAAGTTGCATAATGGAAATATGGTATATTTGTTTTCAAAAACACGTTATGAGAAACACAAACACTCTATATATAGCAAAAACACAACGAACTTTTTTAAAGACACATGACATGTTTTGTTACAAAAAATCTAACACCCAACTATGTTAATACTAGAATAGTGTAAGACATCTTCGAGATGTTACTAAAAACTTAAAAATAAATCACGTAATGTTTTAAATATATTGGTTTTATATTATAAAATCAAATTATAACATCATTTGTTTTGTCAAATAAAAGCTACAAAAAATATATTTCAGATTTAATAAAAAAAATATTTATAAATTGTCAATAATTAAAATTTATCAAAAAAACTTTTGAAATAAAATAAACAATCAAAATACTTTTCATTGGTGTGTATTCAAATCACCGTTTGCAAGTTTATTTTGTTTGTATATAATATAAATTATGCAATCATTACAAATTAAAATCATAGCCACAAATTTACAATCATAAGTTAAAATAAAAAATAATAAGTAAACTTTTATTTATATATATATATATATATATATATATATAATAACATATCACATGTCTTATTCAGTATTTTGTTATTTCATATAATAATACATAATTAAATAACAAGTATTATTGTATTTTTTTAATAATATGTAGATTTAGAGGTTTAATTAGCAACATAATTATCTCTCACACCCAGTTTACTATCCAAAACCAACTTACCATTAGGTTAAAACTTCTTTTCCTCCCTACTTTCCAAGAGTACAACCTATTTTTTGATGGTACAACGTGCTTAACGTGCTTCTTTTACTTATCTTTAAGTCTTTATAGACAAAGTACATATGTCACTTTCAACTACTTTTCCATATCGAAAAAAGTACAACAGTGTCATTTTTCACCACTCTTTCAAAGAGTTTCTCGATTGAAGTACAAAGATAAAAAACACGATGTTTCGATTTACGGAGTCAGGTCAAATCTCTCCTTTATATAGTCTTCCAACTCGAAGCACAAGTCAAAGCTTCTCCCTTGTTTCACGCTATTTATTATTCGATCAAACTAGGAGTTATCTAAAGAAAGACACTTCAATACTAAAACGAGTAAGGGTCGAATAAAGTTAATAATAAATGTGCAATAAGTGTGACCAACCTACCACAATATCACAAACATCTATAGAGTTTAGAATGAGTTTCAAATTAGCACTTGCCTGATTAAAATCCAATTGGTAATGAGTTTGCTTAGCCTCAACATAATCATCCCTAACATTAACTTCAGTTCAGTCTAACGCTCGTCGTACGCGAGCAGTTATTTTCAATATCATAGACCAAAAGAATCTATGATTCTGAGGACTAATTAGACGATCTACTATATAATATATCTGTAGGATATCAAACAAATTATCTTCATTATTAATAAATATTGATAGGTAAGATCTCTTTGTTGTCAAATCTAATTCTAAATTGTGTGGACTATTACTTTTCACTTATCTCTAATTTTCATCCAATACTAAAATTTTTGTTAAAATTTATAGGTAATAACACATTCTTAACAAAAGTTATCAAATCATGACTCGTGTAATTCCACAACTGAAAAGAATTTATTTCACATAAAAATAATCAATTTATATACATATTAATTCAATATTTCAATAATAACTAAGTAAATAATTTCACAATATAAATATGTAAATTCATCTTAAATATTATAAAAAGATAAATTGTTAAGATGAGATGCACTTGAATTGTTGCTAGATTTAATTTAATTCATTATCAGACATATCTTTAATTGCTTCCAGTTTTCAATTCTCAGTTACAAAATTTAAGACACATGTTATATAATTATTAAATTTCCTATATTTGAAAAACAACACTGAAAAAAAAACACCACGAGGAAAGGTCATTAATTAAAAAGAATGGTTGTTTTAGAAAAAAGTTGATTTGGAGTCAAACTCGGATAATAGTTTGCAATGGCTCTGGGAACTTAAACTCTCGTTGTTGAGCGAGTTTGATAACCATATTCTTAACCAATCAAAGTTCATGTACTACTTGCATTTTAATATATGATTAAATATTTAAACCATGACGTGTTAACAACTTTTTATAACAATATTTTAATAATAGATTGTGTCACAATTTTATTGGTTTACATGTTTAAAACAGACAAATCATAGGCTATCTAGTAAATTGTTGTAAAAAAAGTTGTTAAAAAAATATTTTCCTAAATGTTCGTATATAAAATAGAAAGGACTAGTTGTGGTGTGAGTGCTTAGCACTTTCTCATTTTTTGGGTGCAATAGTAATTTTAGAGAGTAATGGGCTTTAAATGTTTTAAATTAAGTGGGCTAAAATTAAAACAGGTCCAATTAAAACCCACAGAAAAACCCTACCTTATCTGTCTTTACTCTTGAACACAGCAGGTCAGGTTGTGCCGGCCGGCAGCCACGTTGGACGCCCTGAGAATCACCGCCGCGAGTAGCCCCCGAGAGAGGCGTTGCTGTCGTGAGATCTGTCAACTTCTTCGCCCTCATCGCTGGGAGGGATTGCATCGCGAGGCACCGAGAGCACCGAGAGGCGCCGTCGCGAGAGTTGCTGCAGCAAGAGTAGCCTCCGTGAGAGGTGCCACGGCGAGTATTATCTCTGCCCGTGAATGCTGCGATTCGGGAGCGACTCATTCGATTCAGAAGTCGAATTGTACTATACGCACACGACACGGGAGCAAAAGCGATTCGTATCGTGAATCGTTACCCATTACTCACTACTAGTGAAACTGGTGCTTCCAACGAGTCTTTGAATTTATATTCTAAACATTTCCAAGCATATTAATTTATTTAAAATTCTCTATCCGAATGCATCCTGACTGGAGTTGATTTTGATCAGATATTGTATCGATAAGCAGAACAGGTAAAAGAAATGGTGTAGGATTGAGAGAGATACGCTGTAGTGGAGTGCCCTGTCCTTGGACCATGAGAATGGGGAGGAGCTGATGCGGGTACAACCTGGTACAGACATAGTCCTCGGCAACCTTCCTCGAGAATCCCCTGGCACGCTCTACATCACTACTAAGTATACTCTCTTCTGCTCTCATTCACAAACTCTCTTGTATTGTCGTATGCTTTATTCAGTATTTCAGTATTCTTTACAATTTGGTTTACACACAGGCAAGTAATATGGGTGAAATGATTTTGTATCAAGATAGGGTATGCTGTTGATTTTTTATCCATATCTCTTCATGCTGTCTCTACAGACCCTGAAGCTTACCCTCTTCCTTGTTTATATACTCAGGTACATATTGTAATTCTATTATTTTTCACACTTTCCCCCTTGCATCTTTCTCACTGTTCGTCTTTGTTCCTCTAGATTGATACTGAAGAAGCTGATGATGACCACTCTGATTCGGAATCTAATCATATCGAACAAGATTTGTCCAATGTCACAGAAATGAGGCTCATTCCCACTGATCCTACCCAATGTATCTTTTTCTTGTCTTCACCACTCTTCACAATTGCTTGTTTTTAGCAGTTCTTTATGTGTGTGCCTTCTTTGTTTTCCAGTGGACACTCTCTTTGCAATATTCTGCCAGTGTGCAGAGCTTAATCCAGAACCGAATGATGGTAAGTACTATTTTTTTTTACTTTTTCTTCACTCTAGCGTTTTCTTCTATACGAGTTGCGCTGTTCTTTCAGATGAAGGAGAAGAAGAACATGACTGGGTTTTCAGTGCTGATCAGATGGTAGATGAAGAAGCAGGTATGTGTGCGTGCCTTAATATGTATTCCTATTACATCATACATGCTTACTGTGTTATTCTTAAATATATTCATGTTTTTTTCTTCCAGAGGACGAATGTTATATCTCTCACAATCCAGCCAACTCTATTGGTCAGTCAAATGGAAATCACGACCTAGCCCGTACCATACTTGAGGTTGTGTGTTTTTCTCTATCTACTTGTGTTTGTGCAGTCTTATTCGACACTGGATTCTTGCCCTTCTAAAGGGAGGCGTTTAAAATCAGAATAAGGAATTAGGATTATGCATTCGAATTAAAGCATATTGTAAGTTGTGAATATAATCCAACAGACCAGATTTAATTATCACACCACTTAGTAAATTCAATAGAATACTAAGTTAGCCAATTCAAGAGTTAGATCTAAAATATTTGTTGGAATGTTATATAATAATTAACATTAACCTATATTTTGAATGACTCATTTGGCTTTAAAATAAATCAGGGCAATGAAATATCAATCAATTATTTATTTGCTTGAAAATTGTAAAGTGATTTTGGTAAATGACAAAATCAGGAATCAATCTACTTTGTATGAATTTCGATCCGATGGTCATATTATTTTAAAACAAAGATATGATAGAACGGACTCACATTTCTACTTATTGCATTTGTTTGTCACATTGAGTTTCAAGTTCTATGGTAACAAGAGTCACAAACTGGAATATTATCTTCTGCAAGTTGAGATGTTTAAAAAATATACAATTCCTTAAAGTAGTACAATAAGAAAATGATATGTTTACTGGTTGAAGCTTGTTTCGCATGTGTACAATATTTGCAATGTATCACCCTTAAAATGATCCTTTAAACTGGGAATCACATTCTTTTGAGTTTGATTAATTATTATTTTCTGTGGTCGTTTACTACTTATATCCTTTTTAATTTATTACAGCTTCAAATCAATGATCGAAGATTTGAGGATGCGGAAGAGATGGATGATAATGGAGACGGCACCCATCATTGAGTGTCTGTAACTGTCCGTTGTGGTTTGGTTTTATATATGTAATTCTATTATGAAAATCTGACCAGCCGTTGTATCTGAGACTTTTTTAAGAAAACAGCAATAGTGAGTTTAGAGCTATATTGTAGAAAGAAATTGAGTATTGTATGAATACTTTATTGATAATTAATGTTTGGTCTTTATCAGTGCGCATTCCAGTGCAGGCAAATTATTTACTGGAAAGGTGAGGAGAATTCAGAGAATTTTCTTATCATTTTATTTGATTGAACTATCGTGATGTGCCACTAATGGTTGTTTACCCACTAGCCCGTATCAACTGAAGAGTCACAAAAAATCATTATATTAAATTTTAGGTGTAATATACCCATTATTCTAGTCATTTAGCAATCATAATTTAGATATCAAATTACAGGCTAAATAATTCAGATTGGAATATTATATTATATCTTGATAATTTAGCTTTTAACGATACATATGAAAAATAAAGTAAATTATCTAATTTTTCTTTCTTTTTCTCTTTGGATAATTTATTTTGTTCCATACATATAAAGTAGAGTCATTCGATTATTAATTTTCACTATATTAACCTTTTGATAACTGTTATTGAAGTCTGAAAGAAATAATTAGAAATTCAAATATGAGTAAGAAGATTCGTGAGATAACAAAAACAATAATAAGATTTAGTGACTCAGATGAGACCCTAAAATCAAATTCAAACTAGTGCACCATTAACTATGGAAAGAATCAAAGAATCATACACTAATGAAAAGGACATTCGTGGTGGCAAGGCTCATATTTGGGCCCGGCCCATACGTTTGGGTTGTGGATGAGACAAAGAAAAAAGACGTTACACACTCTAACAAACTATGGGCCTGAGATTTTATAAAAGTCCATTAATGGAAAAGTTAAACCAACTAATCTCATCAATTAATTTATTAAATCTACCACTATTTAATTATTTTATTTTATACTCCTTTAATTAATATAATTAACATATCTTTCATTCAATCTTGCTTATTTGTTATCATCTTACGAAAATAATTCCTAAGTTTTCTTCGTAACGGTTGAAGTGTTAAAAATTAAATTTTAAATTTAATTCCATCCTTTAAAACTGATTTGAGATTTTAATTCCACCTACATTTAACTTTATCTCTAATTTACGTGATTCTCAAAATTTAATGCTTAGCACCTTCGAATTCCATTAAACATATCCCCAAATGCTTACTTGATTTAATTTCAGCATACTTTAATAAAATAAATATTTTATAAAATGTTCAGCAAAAATAGAGTGTAGGTTTTCTAATTTAATTAATTTTTTTGAATTAAACAGTAACAAAACGGTAAATTGTTGAGAAGTTACACATGAAAGAGGAGAGTTGAATGAAAATCCACAATGTTAGGTGAGAAGAGGCTATGGAAAGTGTTTGAAGTTTGCAAGGAGGTTGATTTGCAGTGGAGTTTGTTGGTGTTGGTCCAACACAAAACATGTCTGCTCAAAGCTACTTCACTCTCGATGAAACTAAATTCAAAATGCAGAACTGTGAAGACTGCACGCATTCAAAAACAGAGGAAGAGACAAAGCAGAGCTATAAGCTGCGTTTAAAGACTGCACCTATTCAGTTAATGTTGGAAGCAATGCAGTTTTTGTAACACATAATATGAACAATGTTGCAGAAAGTGATGTGAAGGCTACTGACATTCCCTTCCTATCCAACCAATCAATCCACAGATATTCATATCTCAACTTCACTTTAATCATAAATTTCATATCTCAAAATAAGGTATATGAGGGAAAGAAGAGGTTCAGTTAAATTAAAGTGAAGAAGGAAAAGAAAAGAAAAGAAAAAAGCAAGCAGAAAGGACAGAGAGAGTTACCAAAGAAGTAGGAGACATGGATGAACCAACCATCGGACCACTCTCCTTTCATGGCGGTCCCCCTTCTCTCTCTCTTTTCGATCCCTATTTTCAATTTTCAAAAACCATTATGATCTGTATCATATCTCTATTATCTTATATACTGTACACTATCTAGTATTATACCAGTATTTGGTATGGATAAATGTAATTATAAAATAGTAAACTTACCTGGTGAAATTCCCAACTTACCCCTACCCTTCGTTTTCCCGCCTAAAGATGAGGAAATCTCAAATCAGATGACGACAACCACCATCATCATCATCATCAATGTAAATGATGCCTCTCTCTCTGTCTTCTCCCTTGGGCCCCACGCCTCCTTCACTTTAACAATCTAACTGTCCTCCATTACCCGCAAATCAATGTCACCAAAATTACCAACAATTTCCTTTTTTATTTCTTTTATTATAATAATACATTTTTGCCAAAAATCTTTATGCACTCTCATTTTGTAAATTAATCCCCTTTTACAACTTTGTAATTTCGCTAATAAAATAAAATGAAATACGCCGTTCCAGTTAATCACTTTCACACTGTTCTTTTCCTTTCACAGACTTCCCCTTCCCCCAAATAATAAATAAATAAATAAAAACAAAAAGCCTTTTTGGATGTATAATATAAAGAAGCTTCACCCACTGAAACATCACGTTTCGTACTTGGGAGCTCTCTCGGCTCACTAACCCCAGCTTCTAGCTTCTCCTCATACTCTCAAAATGTGCCAGGGCCTCTCCGCCCCGTCGCCGCCGTTTGCGGCGCTTTTATCCTTCGCTCTCCTTTTTTTTCTCTTCGCCGGAGGTCCGGTCTCGGCTTGGCGGCCCTGGCCCCAGAACGGTAAAATGAACGTCACGGACTACGCCTTCGGAGACTCCAAGAAATACGAGGGGTCCTCGGAGTTCGTGAAGCTCAGGTACCACATGGGACCGGTTCTCACCACCAACATCACCGTCCACACAATCTGGTACGGCAAGTGGGACCGGAACCAGAAGAAGATAATCCGCGAGTTCGTAAACTCAATCTCCGCCACAAACTCGCCGCACCCCTCCGTGGCTGGGTGGTGGCGGACCGTACAGCTTTACACGGACCAGACCGGAGCCAACATTTCGAAAACGGTTCGACTCGGGGAAGAGAAGAACGACAGGTTCTATTCTCACGGGAAATCGCTGACCCGGTTATCCATACAGTCCGTGATAAAAAGCGCCATCACAGCGAAAACCCGGCCGCTCCCGATCAATCCGAGGAGCGGGTTGTATCTGCTGCTGACGGCGGATGACGTGTACGTTCAGGATTTCTGCACTTCTGTGTGTGGGTTCCACTATTTCACGTTTCCGTCGTTGGTTGGGTATACTCTTCCGTACGCGTGGGTGGGTAACTCCGCAAAAATGTGCCCCGGGCAGTGTGCTTACCCTTTTGCGATGCCCGCCTACATCCCTAACCCGAAGCCGTTCAAGTCTCCAAACGGCGACGTTGGCGTGGATGGCATGATAAGTGTGATTGGGCACGAGATGGCCGAGCTGGCATCGAACCCCTTGGCCAATGCTTGGTATGCCGGTCAGGACCCTTCTTTCCCGGTGGAGATCGCCGATCTCTGTGAGGGCATTTACGGCACCGGTGGAGGTGGATCGTACACCGGTCAGGTTTTGGACGCCCGTGATGGTGCCACCTATAACATGAACGGGATCAGACGGAGGTTCCTGGTTCAGTGGCTGTGGAGCCACGTTCTGAATTACTGTACCGGACCTAATGCGCTCGATCACTGATCTGTGCTCCTCTTTCTTCCTTTTTTTTTTTTTTTTACTTTCTGTTTTTCCTTGCTCCCTTTGCTTTGGTCTTGTGGGTCTGTGGGAATCTGCTAATTTTGTTAAGGTAGTTAAGTTTGTTCATTAATGCAAATAATGTAATTTTATTATTATTGTTATATGATAGAATATGGATTATGATGAACCTTTTTGTCGTGAAGATTGGGAGAGGAATTGAAGAGAGTAGGAGTAGTCGCTAACAATATTAATGGAATTAAAGAGAATTAGGTAGATTTTTATTCATTCATGGAAAGAAGCAGAACGACCCAAATTATGATATCGAAATCGAAAATTCAATCGAATTGCTTTGCTAGATACTTCCTACGTCCTATGATTGAATGCGACGGAAACACTTTCTCTGATGTTGCTCTTTCACCCCTCTTTTGCCCATTCTCATGTCCTTCAAAACCTAACCAGGACCCTTGTTACACAAAAAACAAAATAACTGAAATACGAATATTGCAATTATTACTCCTTATCAGGGTAGGGTCCCATTCTACATGTAACACGAACTCAAATCACTTCGTAATTCGTAGTTTTACCATACAAAACGATAAGATGAGAAATAATTCATCTCGTGTGGTGTATTTGGTGGGAAGAGGACAAAATCCTGAGTGAGCAACTGAGTTAGCGAACCGTATTTGAAGTGCAGTGATGTTATTTGAAGTTAGAAGATCGGTAGCAGAAGGACTTAGGTTCAGTTTGTCATGCTTTACTTAGAAGTAGAGAGGAAGATCGTTTCTAAACGCTTTTCTCTTTTAATGTATCCAATAACCAAACATCACAATACCTACTAGAAGGAGGTTGTCGGGTAGTACAAACAATTCAAAACTAGGAAAGGCTCGTGAAGGAGTAGCATGGAGGAGGAGTCTAAGGACTAAGACATCTACCTCCAAAAATCATTATAAAATTCTACTTTCTCTTCAATTTACACTTATTTATATATCATAAATTAATTTTATCTTACTTTGGATTTTCTCAAATGCTAAAAAGGCACGTGATATCTCTAACTCCAAGCACCCGTATTCTTTTGAACTACATACTTTTTTCCATGTAACCGATGCATCTTCCTATGTTCCGTGTTACCTCCTCATAAAACCCTACTTTGCAGATAGATAACTTGTTATAATATCAAAACAAAAAGGTGATCATTTTGCTTTCAATTTCTTTCTCTTACCTCTCCACCGAGCAATAAAGTGAGCTCAGTGTCCTTATTATTGTTGTCTATCTGATTCGATTGTTCTTTTTCCTCACACTGCAAATCTCTGCCTTTCACTTTTTACAGTTTGTTAAAATTGATTCTTAGAAATGTTTCAAACCTTCTGTTAATTTTGGGATTGGAGGTGGTGTTTTTTTCGTAATACACTCTTTCATTTTTTTTTATAATGAAAAAGTACGTGTAAACGGGTATTCGTTTAAACAGTTTCGTTTTATAAGTTCTGCTAACTTATATTAATCGATAAAAAATCGATCAAACGTAATTCAAACTGAACTCACGGCTAAAAAAATGTCCATTCATATGGGGTTGGTGGTATTAAACATAAAAATACTTAGAAATAGAAAATTACCAACAAAAATGTCTTGATATTAACTTTCATCCCAAACTTGTTGATTGACTTTGAATTTTAAACATTTTTAAAGATTATTTCATTTTTATATGAATCCGATATTTTCAAAGATCTCCTGTTCTAATCAGAAAAAGTTAAATGACAATATGAAAAAGTATTAGTAAATAAATCCACCCTTCGTTTGTTTTGTAATCAGATACACGTTAAAACAATTGTAATCTTGTTAAGCCACTGCGTTCGGTTCTATCCAGATTGAATTGTTTCTCAGACCTCTATTAAAATATCACATAATATTTTTTATATGAATAAAAAATGAGAGGATAATTTCTAAATTATAAGGCAATTGAAATTCAAGCGCTGCCTCGTAAATTTTAAAACGATAATCAAGGTTAAGATGCGTAATATATTAGAAAGTGTATGCCAAAAATTTTAAAAATTATAACCTTTACTGACAGTACTCTTTTAAACATCCCATGTTTACCCTCCACCTGCTTTTAAAACATTGGGTAAAAATGTTGCAGTCACTTCATCATGTCATATCTTAAATGTGACAACGCTGCTGTATTGTCTTGCGGAATATCATTAACATCACTTTGGAATACTTCCAATTAAAAAAACGCGTGTGGTGGAGGATATACTTGGGGATCAACCAGGCTTTATACGTAATTAAGCATATGGTAACGATTCGGAAAAGAAGGAATCACTTATTGATATTGATGCATTACTATTTGCACTGTTTCTAATTCATTTTGGTGCAATACTTCTTTCACTTAGAAGGCCATTTTCTCATTTCCATGCATATTTACAAGTTAATTGTTGTAGAGGTATCTTATAATATAAGCCAACTTAATCTTCATATTTTTAGACTTTAAATTTAACTCATAAAAATAAAGTTTTTCTCGCCCATTGATCAAACTGGAAGATTTGAGATACTCCAATGTTAAAGTCAATAAAAATTTAACAATAAATACGTAATAAATTCAATCTCATTTTTTATTATCTAAAACTTGTATTTATAAATTTCATAATGAGTTTTAGATTATCAATAAGTTAATCACGATCCAAGTGGTAATGATCATATTTTGATGTAAGCTAATCACTGTCAAGTTTAATTATAAGTTAAGAATGAACATTTGATTCATAAGATCTAACCACTCGATTTATAAATAATTTTAATAAACGTTTCTAATCGGGTAGATCGTTCGGTCTTAAACTATATGATTATACGATATAAATGTAAAAATTGTAATAATTAATATGATAACTTACTTAAACAAGTATTTCTATTTATTATTAATTTAAGAAAAGATTCCACATTTATAAAAGTTTTTGAAATGATAAGCATCAAAGTGCATTTTAAAATTTTAAAAAGATATTCCAAATTTAAAATTTTAAAAAAATATTCCAAATAATGTTCTGTGATATGTTAATTAAACATGTTATGGAAGCTTAGCTAATAATCCTATTCTTGTGCAACGATCATTATTTCCATATTTCTTACAAAGATCAATCGGGCAGGTAAATTTCAATAATGATACACCAAACGTTGCAGGGAAAATTTAACGATACAAACCTTAGAATTTGCACTTACCGTATGTGTCAGTTTTTTTTTCATTGCCTACACTTGTACGCACAACATAGCTGAAGAGATAACTTTTTAAAAATTTGAATAAAAACAAATATAGTTATGAGTTTTAGCGAGTAAACAATATTTTACGTTTGTACTTAGGATAAGGGATACAAACCAGTTTTAGAAAATTTTTACTTAAAAATTCCAACATTTCGATTAAAGGACGTAAGTAAACTAATGTTCTGTTACCTTGTAATGATTTGGTAAAAAAAGATTTAAATAATAAACAAGCTTCAACACTGACAGGTAAAGAAATCCAAGAAATATTAAGGATTTATTAAAGTGCAGCCACTTAAACTGGCAATAATCCCATATTTTTGATACTAAATATAGAAACTAAAATAAAATATCAAAATAGGGCTAAACACGAATAAGAAAGTAAAAAATATATATGACAATATTAAAACTGATAATTCAAAAAGTCCTTTCATCTTTATTTATCGACAGTATTCTACTATTTGTGTACTGTGTTTTTATACCCCAACGGCATCCTAGCGTTATTATATATAGTTTTAAAATTGACTTTTTCACGAGAAATTAAAATATCATAGTTTGTGACTGGGATTGGAGTGTTCTATTGGAGTACGTCGTGTAATGGATATAGAACTTCGGTGTTATTATTGTTTTTTTGTAATGTTCTTAACACCATGTTGTCTTTAATTTGTTTCGAGAATTTGATTAGTGCCGTTACGGTTTGATGAAACATGTTGAAATGTTGGACCTAATATAGGTTATTCTGGACGATGTGTCCTCGTAATTTGTATTTGGAAATGGAAGAATTGTGTATTTGAGTTTGATGATATTTTGACGCTGATCACGAAAACAAGGACAGCAAGACCATGATGAGGCGTGGGAGGGCACCCTGAGACGGACCTTCTTTCTTAAAAATTTGAACTAACTTAGGATTGTGGGCAAGGCTTATGATGTACTCCTTTTTCTTTTCAAAGTCAATCTTCAAGCTTGTCCGATCTCTTGTTCTTAAAGGGGGACCCGTTTTTCTGTACTACACACCAAAAAGACCTCTGCTCCTTACAAACCAACCATCTAACCAAAAAACAACCTCCTTTGTACCACCACATCCCACATTACACTTCCACTTCGGTTTCCAACCACGTTCATGCCATGAAACAATCATACAGTTATATGTTCCCTCTTGTATATACTAATCGCCCATTAAGTTGCGATTGGTATTATTAACTTTGAATATCGGATTGGTTAAGTTATTACTACATTCGAGTTTATACTGTTGTGTAATGTCGTTCCTTTGGTGTCATTTGTTCTTGTATTAATTAATGAACTATTCGATTCACCGACGGTGAACTGTTCGATTATGTTGATTAATGTACATCTTCACTTATTGCATGCTTAAGAGTACAGTTATATTTGTAGTTTTTGTATTCTATTCCGTTTTTTTCTAATTGTTTATTATATATTGTTTTATTTTTCTATATATTTGTTTATGATTTCTTCACGCACATGCAACTGCTAGATATTTAACCTCAACAACAATTGCACACCACAAAAAAAAAACAACTCTAGGATGTAATCAAGTATTATGCATATTTCATTGCCGAAAGGTTTCTTTATCAAATTTGCATATGTTCCATTTGCCGAAGGTTTTTCTTTCGGTGAAAATGTTATAAAAAATGTATTGAATATACAATTCCGAGGTAACAATTCTTGCAGGCTACGGTTTATCTTCGTTCTCTTTGATGTGTACTAAAAAGTTATATATAAAGATATTCTAAAGTCGAAGCAAACATTTACATGTTAAGTACTATATACTAATAAATAACCAAATTTACTCAATATCTTATATATATATATTTAAGATGAATTTTACATCTACTAAAATATATTAGAAATATTTTACATTTCAATTAATTTTACAAATCACCAAAAAAAGCTAACATCTTGTTTTATTCCATATTAATTGCACGTGCTATT